ATGCTACAGTATTCGAAGTTATACCCAAAGATTTTAAGGGAAGAGACACTATGGTAACTACTATTATGTCAAGATTATCTTGTGGTGAAACACTATTTTTGCTTAAATGGCTATGTTTTGACCTGCACTGTTTTGTTGTTATGCCCTCTTTTTTATCTCAATCTCCTTTTTATTATCTACTTTTTCATTTTTATCCTTTTAATTAAGGAAAAAATAAATTAAAAATAGCAGGATATATTATAGTAACCCACTTTGATTTCCTATTAACTTGATTTGAAACTCTGTATTGCTCTCACTATTTTGTTTTGACTGATTTTCCTCTATTCTGTTATGCTAGATAGTACCAAGTTTCAAAGTATAGGCAACAACTATGAAGACAATAAAATTCATTGTGATGCCCATTCTCGTTGACTATTATCTTCTTTTGAAGTCCTCTAATGTCTCCAATGTTTTGGTTTCTAAAAAAAAAGAAGAATATCTTCATACTTAGGAAATATAAAAGTAGGAGTGTCATGAGATCTGCAACTTTCAAAGCTTCAGTAAAAATGGAAGAAAAAGATAATATGCAAAATTGTTGAATATGAGTGGAAGGATTAGAGATGTTAAGAATTTTTATCATCAGCACTCAGGAGGCTGAGGTGGGAGGATCCTTATGAGTTTGAGACCAGCCTGGGCTACAAAGTGAACTCAAGGCCAGCCTGAACTGCATAGTGAGACCCCATCTCAAAAAAAGACAAAAAAAAAAGAATTTTCACCATAAGACATAATAGTGCTGCTGGAGGTTTAGCTCAGTGGCATAGGTGCCTGCTTGGCAAACGCAAGGTCATGAGTTCGACCCCCGTACCAAAAAAAAAAAGACAAACAGTGCCAGAGGGCGACAGATCAGTCATATTTCATGTTGGGATTTGCACACTACCAGGGACCTCTAGAGCTGCCTAAAGCTGAAATTTCACTCGGAAATTTATTTGAAAACAGGGTTCTTTTACAATACTATGCTGAAACAATTTCTGTGGCCAAGGTCTGCTGATACATGGGAAGCCCTCTGGGACCAACCCTAGACACTGCCAGTCCCCTGGGACATTGATCCTTACTCCGTCTGAATTGTCTGAATTGGCATTTTATCACAGTGAGCTAGTCAGCTCCTACCAGTGCACCGCAATTGGCATTTGGAATGGCACTTTTTGTTATCACAATTGGGCCATCTAAGAGGCACATCTTTGAATCCCTCTGTTTTGATGCCTTGTAGAATTGTTTCCATTCAATCAGGCATGAGTTTTGCTCAACGCTTTTAAATTAAGGGATGTTTTTAAAAAGTGATATAAATTTCATACTGAATGTATTTGTAAAGATGGTGTTAAAGTTATTCTTCAGTACTTGGTCCACACAAGAACTGTCTTGAGGATCAATCTCAGTGTTGTAAAGAACTGAGTTTTCCTATCAAAGCTTTGCTTTTTCCTATTATGGACATTATGATTGTATGCTAGGTGTTTCCTTCTTTGCTTTGTGTACTAGGAAACTCAAGGACAAATGTACAACTGTGTAGGTCTTCATGCTGCATAATATGTAATACATATTTAACAGCTGCCAGTGATAATGAAAAGAAAATCAGATAAAAGGAAAACGAATGACATAGAAGTCAGAGAAGAACATAATTCTAAAAGGCAATATTAATAACATAAAATGGAAGATGTGAAAATAATTGAGATAAATAAGGAAAGAGCTATTAAATTTATGCAGGTAACAAGCACACAGGCCTGCGAATAGGAGACAGAAGAATAGAATCCAGATTAGGAGCCTCTAGGTGTCTCTTTGTTGTGCTTACTAATTATCAAACCCAACTGGGAACTCATGGCCTTGAGTTTTTGTTGGCTTGCTTTACAAAGTAAATAAGGCATATCTTTATTATTCTAAACACACTGCCATTGAAGATCATATTGTATAAAGGACACAAAAATCTTAATGTCGGGCTGGGGGTTTAGCTCAGCGGCATAAGCGCCTGCCTTGAAAGCAGGCAGTCGTGAGTTCGATCCCTGGTACCGGTAAAAAGGAAAAAGACCAAAAAAAAAAAAAAAAATCTTAATGTCTCAGCAGTTATAGTGATGATATAGAACCTACAATCTAATTACTACAAATATCTAATTCTATATAAAAAATTTATAGGCAGCATCTGAAAGATATTTATACAGGACTATGATATTACTTATTTCCACCATCAAGAAAGTCCATTGTTCACATGGGACTTACCTTCTCAATGACAAAATTTGGGCAAGTCTGTTTAAACTTTCCTGCCACAGTGATGAATTCCTGGTCCCAAGGCTGCAGCAGGACCACACAGAGATTCTGCTGATTCATGTCACTCCAGTACGCAGGAAGGGTAACTGCAAAGCAGACATGAGAGGACTCCCCTGTGTATTTCCAAACTGAAAAGCTGAGTCTCGTCTGTGTTGTGTTATAATCTCCTGATTCTCTATGCTCAGCAAGTTCCTTATCTTTCTAGCAGAATGTATTCCAAAGAGTGGACCACAGCACACCCATATCAGAATCAGCTGGAATGTTAGATTTTCAGAAGGAGGTTCTGGTGGCAGAGCTTGGTGGTGGAGTGTTTGTTGGGCAAGCACAAGGCCCCAGGTTTGGTGCCCAGAACCAAAAAAGAAAAAGACAATGTCACAGACATATTGAATCTGAGTCTCAGCGGGCTGGGGCCTGGGTATCTGTACCTTAAATCTGGATCCCACTACCATGGCACAGTACACCTCATCTAGATTTTCTGTTCAACCCCCACTCCCGTAATGTAACAAAACGTTATTTCCATGCCATGTTTTAAATAGTAGCTGCTGTTATGCTTATGCATGGGTTTTTGCCAGACTGCCTCGTTACCACCATCATTTATTACCATCATTTATCATTTATCTTCACAACCTCGTTGAGACATAGGAGGTTTTATGTAGGTTTTATTATGTGACACATTAAGGTGGCAGCTCTATCTCCTTCCTTGGTAAGCAGAATACTATAGACAATGTGATTTCCTCAAAACCTGAGAAGTTTGTTCCCACTGCTTTCACCAGAGATGAAAACAGTGTGTTGGAAACCAAGTCACTGATTTCCAGTAGGAGGCTTATGTGGTTTGCTGGAGGAATGGCAGCCTACACAAGGTAAGCTTTGCCTTCTTGGGGAGCAGATGCAATCATGGAATCTCAGGCTCCTCCCTGATGTTGTGCAAAGCAACTTGGCAGCAGCAGTGTGACTCCTGGAAGGACAATTTGGACCCTCTCTGGGTCATCAGTCACCCATACACAGAGGTCACTGGCCACAGCCTGACTTCTCTGCTTTGTCCATTTGTCCTTTTGTTTAAAATAAAAAACAACCTTGAGCCACTTTCTTCTAAGGCTACAGTTTTCCCTCCTCTGGCCGGAGGAGCTATTACTCCCGAACAGAACCGGCTCTGGAAAGCTTACAATGGGAACAAATGCAAGGCTTGGTTATTGTCATCAGGACCCTTGGGATGCTGAGTACATCCACGCTGTTTTCCTGGCCATACTGCAGGTTCTTGAACTCAGAGACCTGAATGTTCTAGTATGTCTTATTAAGATTCCTTGAGTTTTATCTACCTGAAAATTTGATGTATGCACAAGAGTTGTTAAGTCCAAAGTAGCTGTGAAATAATCAAATGACAAGCATGAAAATTTCACTCACCTTCGAATTTTGTGAGGCGCTTAACAGTGAAACTGTGTCCACCTTGACTTGTGGCAATGCAGGTCTCCAGGTCCACCGTGTAGCACTGATTGTTAATTTTGATATCGATGCTCTTGTTCTTTCTATTCCTTGCATCTTCCAATTGCAGATTGGTTATTTTGTCAAAAGGATGAGGAGTGTTATTGTCATCGTATTGCCATTCTATAAATTCACTAACACAGTCTGCCCTCTTTGCTTCTTCTCTGGCCAATCTTGCCTTCTTAATCATCTCCTCAATTTTATCTCTAGCCTCCATCACATCTCTACTAATTCCCGAAACCTCCATGAAAGGTCTCTTCTGGTCCAGAGCAATGATAATATTTAATCTCTTCTGCAGCTCAGTCAATTCGTTACACTCCTTTTCCTCAAAATCTCTGAGACACTCATCTGTGTTAGTGAAAGAATACTGCTCCTTTGTGATCAGGTCCTTTAACCACTGGACAGCTTGGTCCACGCAGCGTTGGCTGTCACCACACACCTGGAAGACCACCAATTCTGTTTTCTTTTCCAAAATCAAAGGTTTCTCTTGTGGGTGAGGTTTTGAAAAGCCTAAGCGGGCTAAAGAGAAAAAAGAAAATTAGCTGTTTCCTATATAAACTCAATATTTAAAAAGGTATTTCATAAAAACAAAGAACTCACAGAAAAATTTAGATAACATCGATGGTTGCTGAGAAGCCTGAGACCCTTCTCTGTTTTTCATGTTGGCATAAAACACATTTAGTAGCTGGGGCTGAAAGATAACAACTTTAACCTTCTTCACATGCTGAACTGATCCTTTCTGGACAAAGTCTTCAATGGCATCAAGTATAGCTTCGGCAACCTTATTATGGTCTTGTCCAGCATTTCCTGGAAAATTAAATAAGAAAAATGACTGGAGGACAAAACCCAACTGGAAATCCCAAAAGCAAATTAGGAATTCCAGTTCTTGAAAAACAAATGCCAGCATCCCAGCTCTTTCATCCATGTAAATTTTTCTAGTGATGTAAGCAAAAGCAGAGAGCTTTGACGTCCTAGGTGCGGTGAGGAGTTTTGTTCCAGGATGTCAGGAAGCCAACCGCCCAGCAAGGAACAAGGGCCCTGAATCCTGACTTCTGGTCTCTGACCTTCTCTGACGTTTGCCTGTTGATCTGATTCCATATCACTGTTTCCTTTCTTTAGTTACAGGATGCTGGTAACTTGTCTTCCTAGGTCACCAGTGTCCTCAAAAGAGCCATAAGAGGCAAAAGATGCTAATACGTGCTAACACAGATCCCAGGAGAGAAAAGCATGTTTTTCTTATGTCATTGTGTGATTTTATGTATCATTATTTTCCCAAGTAACTCTGGGGACCGGATTTAAACTCAAACAACATTGTTAGACATACAGAGTGGTAAGCTAATTGTTACCATCTCTGATCCTTTGGATGCAAGTTACACTTGAGATTTTAGCTGATCATCAGGTCTTGAGGTTGCCACGGAGCAGATGCTCTTGTGTCTCCTGCACATGCCATCTTGTTTCTCATGCTATGAAAGCCACTGCCCTGGCAAGTTCATGAAAGGTACCTTTCCAGCCAAGGAGGTGGTCCCACATGAATGGCAGTTGGCACAGTCACATGGTATATGACACAAAAGCTTCCCGGCCAAGCTGATACATTAGATTAAGAGCCCATTCAGAACAATGTATGTGCTTATCTATATAAAATATAGTTAAGACAGTTATACTACTAATTTCTCTGAGTTTATTGTCTCGTACCCTGGGTGACTGATTTGGGAAGCATAATGTGCAATCTATGTGCAGTTGTTCCAATTGTTGTGTTTTGAAAAAAAATTTTTTTCTCTTTGAAACACAATGGATTTGAAAAAAAAAAAAGCCCATTCAGGTTATCCCAGTACTGCAGTCAAGAGAGCAACCTGGCCATCTGCACAAGTGTGGGGATGCAGCAAACCCCATACAGAATTAGCCAAGAGGGTTTCTTCGGGTTTTTTGTTTTTTAAACTGATGAACAGAGAGCGAAATTCTCATTTACAAAGTGTGATTGTCCCATGATATTTGGAAGCCTTTAAATGGAAGTATCGGATCACTGGTGTGCTCTCTATAAACATCTGCCATTCCCCACCACACGGGCCACTCAGCCAGCACACAGCGGTAGGCAGGAGGGACAGGTGTCAACAGGTAAAGTACAGGGAACTGGAGGTGGGGCTCTGCAGAGAGGACTTTGTGTCACAGAAGCACATATTCAGACAGTCACGGACGGGGCCAACTGGTTTCTGAGAAACATGAATCTGATTGCTCCTCAGTCTTCTGTCTAGGATCAAGTGGGCAAAGATAAATCTGGAGGGCCACATTGGAGGACACACAAGCGGAGAATATGTCTGTAGTTAGGAGAGAGAGAGGCGGCTGGAATGAAGAGCCTGGTGCAGGAACTGAGGAGGCCTTTAGGGAGAAAAGTCGGGAGCACCTAGTGATGTGCCTTGTGCTCTGGACATTTTCCTTATCTTTCCATCTCTGGGCCTAAGTGCAAAAATATTGACTCTCATATTGAGGTAATGAGTTAATGAGCTAGTGAATGTAGGGTTAATAAAGAGGGTGGAGTCAAGGATGCCAGAGAAAAGTGATGGTTTTCACACGACTGGGGACATACGAAGAAGGATTGGATTTCCAGGGGAGAACAGTGAGACGTTGGGGTCTGCATTGGGTTTAAGCCGCCTGCAGCTGTTGTCGACCCCCCATTCCTCCCACCTTATGCGGGGTCTTTACAGGACAAGGCGCTGCCTCTACTCCCACGGGCTGTCTTCATCAGAGTCCTAATTGGGCTCGTAAACACCACTCGGGTGAGCACCTCCACCTGTGGCTTTAAAGGCCAGCTGAAGCGGTGACCACGATGGCCGAAAGGACAAGCAAGGAAAACCCACCAACCCTGCCTTGCCTGTGCAGGCCAGCGATGCGGCCAGGTCCACAGGAGCGGCCACGGGCAGGCAGCACCCCAGAAATGCTGGAAGGTGGGCTGAGGGGTGGCAGAGCACCTGCCAAAGTGAAAGCCACTTCCTTTCTGTCTTTTGCATTTTGACTCCACCCAAGACTACCTTAGAAAGATCTGTGCCACCCCAGGCATGCTGTTTCCTGGACTCAGAGTAATTTAAGACTAGGAACAGGACCAACAGCCCAGACAGGTGGGGACAGAGCCTGGGTGGCCATCAGTCTAGATAAGCAGGTGGCCAGAAACCTAGACAAAGGCTGATTGCTAGGAATGGATGATACCAGGAGGGGAATAAAACATGAAAGGATCATTAATTATACTTTTGGTGGGCCAGGGGTTTAGCTCAGCGGCATAGACGCCTGCCTGGGAAGCTCGAGGTTGTGACTGCAATCCCCAGCACCTAAATAAATAAATAGATTATACTTCTGGAAACTGAGCAGTAAGTGGATACACCATTCCTTCCAGGAGCATTAAGAATTACAGGGTGCAAAATATGAGTGAGAGGATGAGAAGGCCCAGAAAGTGACAAGGACGGCTACGTTTACTAAGACTGAACTTTCCAAGGCCTGGGGTGCTGGTCCACGAACTCAAGCTGAGGCTTCTGAGCAAGGGAACGCCAGCTCCCGCGCTGAGTCCTCCCTCGCAGGGCCACTCGGACCCACTGTCCTCCCGGCCTGCTTAGCTCCCTCCTCGCACACACAGCCCTGGTTCCTGGGGAGACAGCATCGAGAGCACCTGCTGACTGACGTTTACCTGAACACTACACTGACAGATGAGGAAGCACACAACCCAGTCGTCACATAGTTTGAGGAAAACAAACTCAAAAGCAGCAAGCAGCCCAAAACAGGAAGTTCTGACGTGCCAGGTTTGAGTGACTGAGAGGCCTCTACAATGCAGGTGATGTAGAGCTGGGGTTGCCATGATGCTCTTCATGGAGGACAGAGGAGGAGGTGGAGGGTTAAGTGATGGAAGTTGTACAGGGAAGAGAAAAGCAGATGAAGCGTGTGAGGGGAGTCTTGCATACCCCTCCCTTCCTTCTGTTGCCCTCCCTTGCTTTCGTTCCCCTCCCTAACAACCCACTCACTTTCCTCTTCCTCCTCCTCCTTTTTACGAAGTCTTGCTAAGTGACCCAGGATAGCCTAGAACACCTGGGCTCAAAGTACCTCCTGCTTCAGCCTCTCCAGTAGCTGGGACCACAGGCACACACCCACACCTAGTTCACTTTTTCTCCCTTTATTTAAACCACCCACAAGCTTCACTCACTATCTTAAGAATGAAAAAGCTGTCCACTCAGATAAACCAAGGACCCTCACTCAGATTCGGTGACACCCTCATTAAGCACCGAATCAACGCCTTCACATTTGGCCTTGACTTCCAAAGAGGCTACAAACCTGTCCCAATGGCTGGGAGGCAAATGGAGGAGTAATTCCGTTTCTCAGATTCTTGCAGAACGCAGGAAACTGATTTCTTGACATTATTTTCACCAACAACATGAATAATGTTCTTGCACATCAGTAATCCACCTTTAGTAACTATGTACTCTTGTTTGCCCTGTCGACCTGGAAAACACAGACAAAAAGACACAACATTGACTGCTTAATGTACTCTTTGTTTAGAAAGCAGACTGCTTGATTTGTCAGGGAAGCATTTTGTAAATAAGAAATTTCTGAAATTTTATCTTTGGTGAAATTGTTCTCTTTTAATTTAATTTCTCTTTTAATTGTGAGATTACTTTCCACTTCTAATTCTCTACAACTGGAAATTCGCTCATAAAATGTGTGATTATAAGATTAATGTGTTTGCCTTCCCAACCCCAGGACTGTCCTCAGTTTCTTCACAACTTCCCAATTCTAATTTCTACTTATCGTTTTTACTATCAACATAGTATTGGGTCTTACCTAGGACAGCACATTCCCATTCCACTGCTTGTCCTGCACATTCTAAAATTGCTCTGGAGACCCCTGGATGAGAAAATACCGATGGTAACAAACATGACTTTAAAAACGTTACTACAGTGCATTTGGGTCAATAGACTTCCTCATTATCTAAACCCATGTCCAGCACTGAAGGAATCCTACAGCCTGAGTACTGCTAATAACAAACAAGCAGCATTCATACGGTAACTGTTGGCAATTATAAGAAACACTGTACAAATCATGTTAACATTTTTAGTTAATATTAATGGGACAATTTGACCCAAACCAGTTTGGCTATAGACACACTCTTTTGCAGGGTCTATCATGTTAATTATTAACTAATCAAAATCATACAAGTGAAGTACCTGCTTTAAGATTAAATTTGCTGGATGTTGAATTTACAATCACATCTGCAGTTTCTTTAGTGATATCCCCAGAGGCCACCTGGAAGAGGATGGGGCCAATCTTCATTTCATGTACTCCCAAATTAGGGCTAGAAATAGTCCCATAGAAATCTGCAAAGAAAAAGCTCGAGTCAGTCACCCAAGTCAGCAAGAGCAACAGTGTCTCGGGTCTCTGGCATCTCAGTCTCTCAGTCTTTCTCTCTCGCTACCTCTCTCTGAGCGCTGCCCTCTAACTTGAGTCCCAGGAAGTGTTTGTTTCCAGTACAGGATTACAAAATACAGTAAAGATCAAATGTACTTTCAGGTGGCCGAGGTGAAGTCAGCCTCTATAGCCAACTTTCCCACAATTATAAACAAAACACAGTCAAATATAAAATGCCACCACCCAAGAACTCTGTCAACAGCATCAAGCAGATTAGGGGAAGGAGACACAACTTGAAGAAGCAATCTGGACAGGGGAGAATTTCCCATTAGGTTTTAACTTTAAAATTTTTGAGCCCAGTGTGGCCCCAGTCACAGACTGAGAAACAGATTGCACTCTCAGATAATACCTGTCCTTGTGGCCAGAGGGTTAGGAAAGGTCCCTGTGAGCTGAAGACCACGGGAGGGAATCCTTGGTTTCCCCAGATGTAAGCACACAGCATTTCCATTACTTGGTTTACACTTCCTTTTCTGGAAGGCAACTCTAGTGATGCATTGATAAGACAGTACATCAGGCCACTTCAATTCAGAAAAATCCCTGTCTCTGTGGTCAGAGAACCTGGAAAATGGGCTCTGGAAGTCAGAGAGTCAAGAGGAATCATAGAAAGGTGGGAGCTGAAGAAGAAGATCTTCTAATTCTACACATGAACTAGAAAAAGTCCTAAGGCCCCTGCTCCCCAAAACTGCATACACGTGTGACAGGCCCAGAGCATCACAGCCCTAATTCTAGACATGGATGCCATGGTAATGGGGACCTCCATAACCCACTGTCACACACAGATCAACTAGACAAAAAAATGAACAGAGAACTATTAGAGCTGAACCAAAGCTTTGAACAAATGGACTTAGTAGATATCTACAGAGTGTTCTACCTAATAACAGTAGAATACATGTTTTTCTAGCAGCACATGCACCAAAACACTACATACCAACCCACAAAACACACTAAAATAAATACAAAAGAATAGAAATTATCCCATGTGTATAATCAGATCATAGCCCAATGAAATTGGAAATGAATGGAAAAAGGTTCTGAGGACCAGCCTAATGCAGTGCAGAACAGGCAGTAATTGATATTAATAAACTGGCACAAGAATAAATTAAGAGTCTGTCCTAGTCCTACGTGAGTTGTGGTGAGACTTGTGGCTGGCTTATAGGCAGGTCAATCTTTAAATCGATGGCCAGACTGAAGACTGGAAAATGGTCTGTGAAGTTCTGGTGACTGAAGCAAGGCAGAATGGCAGCTGAGGACTTCAACTCTCACAAATTGCTTCTAGCTCAGTAGTTGGCAGACAATCAGGTCACTGATTAACCATGACCCGTTCCTCTGTGCTTTTCCAAAAATGCATTGTTCCTCAATTCTTGAACCTTGATTGCCTAAGCAGTTCACTTCCACCACTCTCTGCAGCCCAGCACACCCCTGAATCAAGTTTACCTAATAAAGACCAAGGACGCTGAGCCTCATGGTCTTAGTTCTTATTGGGCTGTGACCATCCTAGTGCCTTTGTAATTAATATATATAACTAATACCATTATGTTGCAATTAATATAATATATATAATGACTGTGTTTTATTCTGTCATCCCACCCCTGAGCATATCAGTGGTCTTAAGCCAGGGCCCTGATAAAAGTGGACCCCAAAAATGACATAAACACATGGAAATTAAATAATACCCCCCTGAACACCCAGGGGGTCACAGATAAAATTAAAGAAATTAGACAATTTCTATAACGAAAGAATAATGCCAATATGACATACTGGACCTTATGGGATGCGATGAAAGCAGTCTCATGAGTGACAATTATAGTAGTGAATTCCTACATTGAAAAACGGAGTGAGCTGAAATGAATAACCTAATTTTAACCTCAAGGTCCTAAAAGAGAAGAGCAAGTTAAACTCAAAGTTCATGTGAGGAAAAATGTAAAGAGAGCAGAAACTAATGCAATTCAGACTAACAAGACAGTACAAAGAATGAATGAATCAGAGATAGTTTTTTGAAAGCTTAAATAAAACAGACAAACCCTTAGCCAACTTTATTTTAAAAAGAAAACACTCAAATCCATGCTGTTAACAATGAAAAAGGTAAAATCACAAAAAATCCTCCAGACATCCAGAAGATCCTCAATATCTACTTTGAGAAGCAGTATTCTAACAAAATAGATAATTAAGAAGAAATGGAAAAATTCCTAGATACATGCAAATTACTAAAGATGAATCAAGAAGGTATAAAAAATTCTAACTACAATATAACTCAACATGTGGCAATGAAATTAAAAAAGAAATAAAAGACTTCTGGGAGAACATGGTGGACAGATAACAGCAGCTATGGAGGCTCTCTGAGATAGCCAGCTTAGAATCCAGGAATGGTGTGGTGTGAGGAGTCCTCAGCAAGGGGAGATATACCCTGCCGACCCAGGAACGAACTAAGCTGAGAGAAACCAACTGGAAATGCAATCCCGGTGCTATAACTGGAACAGATAAAATCTCAGCACCGAAGCTGGAACCTGCACTTCTGGAAGCTGCGATTTGAATTTCCTGCTGCTGCTGCTACATCTGAATTGGCACAGCAAGGATAGAGATGCAAAAGCTCTGAGAGTGGGAATCAGCAAAAGGAGTTGAGAGCAGGACTGGCAGGGAGCCCTGCATCAACCTGCAGTGAGTGAGAGGAACGGGGACCCTTCCATAGACTAGGAGGCTCCTGGACATTCTGGGACCGGGCAGACTAGCCAGAACAGGATGCTGCAGTGACTTTAGTCACATATTCCCCTCTCAAGCAGGTTGATGGGGAGCATTTGGCCTGTATGACGCCGCGGACTAAGACCCAGTAGGCTAGCCCAAACCAGGTCCCAGCGCCTGGCAGTGCACGCTAGCAATGAAACCTTCAGTAGATTGACCTGGAGGGGCAGGCCCAGCAGAGGCTGCCCAGGTCTGTGTCTCCCTAGTATACTGCAGTAGATGGGAACACTAGCCAGTGCCATTCAAACTAACTGTAACCAACAAGGAAGAAACTGGGCCTCCTATATACACCTGTATGGAAGGAACAAAAAATATGAGAAGAGGCAGCAGCAATAAGAAAGGGTCCTCAGCCCCCAATCCTGAGAACTGATCCAGGAAAGGTAAATGCAAAGGAGAACGAGGACAGAAAACATGCAATATCAGACACGGCACCTATAGACATCAAGCGGTATCTCCGGAGCCTCATAGACGAGTTCAAAAGTGAAGTATTTAATGAAGTAAAGCAAGATATAAGTAGAACAGTTAGAGAAATGCTAAGCACTGCCCAAGAAAAAACAGATGGTGGAATGGAAGAACAGAAAAAAGGAGACAATTGTTTGATGGAGAAAATAGAGAAAACATAGAATACGTGAAGCAGGCTCAAAGAGATTATCAGGAAACTAAAAACTCTATTGAAAACTGGCATAACAGCTTGAAAGAAACTAAGGATAGATGATCTGAACTGGAGGACAGAATTGTAATGTGGGAGCATAAAATGAAAAACTTCTTAAAGGAAACAAACAGCAATAATACAAAGGCTAGAAGATGATAAGAGCATCTATAACTTAAGAATTAAGAATGTAAAAGAAGAAGTAGGTACACAAACAAATGAACTACAAAGGCTATTCACAGAAATAATCCAGGAGAATTTTCCTAATTTAGCAAAAGGTAAAGATACTCAGATGTATGAGGCATTCAGGACCCCAGCCACCTACAACCCAAACAGAACTACATCCAGGCACAATAATCAAAATTCCAGAAATCCAATATAAGAACAGAATATTAAAAGCCATCAGAGACAAGAAACAGATCACTTACAAGAGAACACCCATCAGAATTACAGCAGACTTCTCGGCACAAACCATCAAATCATGAAGAGTGTGGGGGGAAATAATTCAAGCTTTGAAAGATAGTAACCTCCAGCCAAGATTGATATATCCTGCACAACTGTCCCTAGAAATTGATGGAAAAACAAGGTGCTTCCAGGTTAAAGAGGAACTAGGGGAATTTGCAACCACCAATTGAACTCTACAGAGAATACCGCAGGACATTCTAAAAAACAAAAATACTAAGATTCCAGAAATAGTGGCAGAGAGGCCACAATGAATAGTGCAGAAAGCAAAATGAAGAAGACAAACTGACAACTACTGACAGAAAAAGAGCTCAACAGAAATGAGGCAGAGAAGGTTGGATGATAGGAACAGCTACTTTGGAGAAAACAAGACATCATAATAGGTAGTGCTGATTTAATATCATCTTGTTTTGAAGTCCCATCCAAGCTTTTGTTCTTCTGTCTCGAATTGGTCTTAACATGTTGTATCTTACTGGATTTTATTATATGTGATAATATAAACAAAAAATTTATAGACAAGGAGATTATACAGAAACCATTGTTCATTTTCTGTTAGTTGATTCTAAATACCCTGTAATATTGTCATTCTCTTGAATGGTTTTACATTGTCTTGGTATGTTTGATGCTACAGTATTCGAAGTTATACTCAAAGATTTCAAGGAAAAAGACACTATGGTAACTACTTTTTGTCGGGATATCTGGTGGTGAAACACTATTTTGCTTAAATGGTTATATTTTGACCTGTGTTGTTTGGTTGTTATGTTCTCTTTTATCTCAATCTCCCTTTTTTATTATTTACTTTTTTATTTTTATTTTTTTAATTAAGGGAAAATAAATAAAAAATAGCAGGATATATTATAGTAACCCACTTTGATTTCTTATTAACTTGATTTGAAACCCTGTATTGCTCTCACCATCTTGTTTTGACTGATTTTCCTCTATTCTGTTTTGCTTGATAGTACCAAGTTTGAAAGTATAGGCAACAGCTGTGACAATAATAAGATTCATTATGACGTCCATTCTGGTTGACTATTATCTTCTTTTGAAGACCTGTAATGTCTCCACAATGTTTTGGTTTTATTGGTTTTGTTCTTTACTCTTTTGTTCAATTTTATTATAACTGATGATATAGACAATTCTTTTTAAGATAGCAAGAGGAATTATGGTAACCATTGTTGATCATCTTGTATTTTGCTTTTACATTATGTATTATGTCCATCCTTTTGATTTGACTGACTCTGTTTTGTTATATCACATTTGGTTTTATTCTCTTCAAAAAAAGTAATAAGAACTGTGGGAATAATAAAACACAAAATGTGTAATTGTCATTGTACAAAAGAGAGGAAAAGAAACTGATTTAAAGGATAAAACTGCATGTATATTTAAGTGTATACGATAGATAACCACATTACTGAGTTTTGTTGGATCATTGAACAGAACTGTTTGCAGTCTCACTGTTTGAACGTCCATTTTAAATGCTTTAATTTTGTAACTTGAACAACTATTTCTAAGATGACAATATGTAATCTATTAACTAGTGATTTCTTACTGTTTATTTTTTCTGAAATGCTGCATAACTTGTACCTTTTTTCTGTTCTTTTTTTTCTCCTTAAATAAAATTAAAACAAAAAAATAGAATATCTACCAACAAAAAATACCTAAGTTCTAATGGATTCACTGCTGGATTTTATAAAAATTTTAGAGATGACCTAATATCACTACTCCTCAAACTCTTCAATGAAATCAAAAGGGAAACAACACTTGCAAACTCATTGCTGGAAGCAAGCATTACCCTGATATAAAAACCAGAGAAGGATCCAACCAAAATGAGAACTGCAGGCCCATCATGAACATAGATGCAAAAATCCTCAATAAGATACTAGCAAAAACAATGTAGCAAATCACCAAAAATAATTATTCACCATAAGCAAGTAGGATTCATCCTAGAATGCAGGAATGGTTCAACATACACAAATCAAAAATCATAATCTATCACATTAAGAGAATCAAGGACAAAAACCATATGATCACCTCAATAGATAAAGGCATTTGACAAAGCCCAGAACTCATTCATGATAAAAAAAAAAACCTACAGGAAATTAGAATAACAAGTCTTATCTTAATCTGATAAAAGCCAGCTAGAACAAAACATCATCCCATATCATACTAAATGGACACAAACTGAAATCCTTCACTCTGAAATCAGAAACAAGACATGGATGCCCACTGTCAATACTCTTGTTCAGTATAGTTCTGGGAACATTAACCTGAGCAGTTAGACAAAAAAAATAAATAAATAAGAAGAATGTGGATAGGAAAGGAAGAAGTTAAATGATCATTATTTGTTGACCCCCAATACCTCCATCAAAAAATACCCCCAAAACTCCACCAAAAGACTTCTTAATTTAATAACCAAATTCAAGCACAGCAGAATACAAAGTCAACACTCAAAAATCAATAGCATTCCTGTACACAAATAACAAATTTTCAGACAGAAATTAGGGAAACAACTCTCACAATATCATCAAAAAATAATGAAGTATTTATGAATTAATCTACTGAAGGAGTAAAAGACCTCTACACTGAAAACTACAGTACTCTGACAAAGGAGATTAAAGATGATATCAGAAAATGGGTAGGAAGAATCAATATAGTACAAATGGCCAAACTTCCAAAGTTGTTATAAGATTTAATGCAATCCCAATCAAAATCCCAATACTATATGTCACGGGGCTAGTGAAAATAATCTTAAAATTCATATGGAGCCAGAAGAGACCTAGAACAGCAAAGAAATTCTGGGGAACAAAGACAAGACAGGGGACATCATCCTCAATTCAAAATTATACTACAAAGCAACCATGATAAAAACAGCACGGTACTGGCAAAAAAGAGACCTGAGGATCAATGCGATATATTAAAAGATGCAGAAACAATGGCAGGCATACTCCACTACTTCATCTCTGACAAACGAGCCAAATACATTCACTGGAAGAACGCTTCTTAACAAATCATGCTGGGAATACTGGATTTCCACACGCCAGAGAGTGAATCTATGCCAGTGGCGAAAAATATGCTGCAGTGGGCACACAGAATCCTCTCTGTTGCCACCACAGTGTGTTTTCTAACTAAAACTTCAGTATTAAAGATGTAACTGCAGTGTCGGCACTGCACACTAAATCAGTGGTTTTGACTTACAATTTGGACACTGAGTCTCAAAGTTTCACTGTCACTGTCCTGGACTCATCCCTTACCATGCGCTAAAATCAAAAGGGATGAAAGATGCAGATATGAATAGAGAAGTAAACTCCTGGAAGAGAGAATAGTAAAACTCTTGCAGAGATTCATAGAGGCCAAAGACTTTATGAACAAAACTGACTGCACAGGAAGTATTACAAAGAATCAACAGCTGGGATCACACCACAGTAAAAAGCATTTGCACAGCAAAAGAAACCACCAACAGAGTGGAGATAGCCTACAGAGTTGGAAAAAAATTTTTACCAGCTATTTTTCAGACACAGGGAAAATATATAAAGAACTCAAAAAACCCAGACGTGAATGCACTTCTCAGATGAAGAAGTGCATAGAGCAAAAAAACACATGGAAAAATGTTCAGTATCACTGGTCATTCAAAAACTGAAACTAAGATGACACTGAGCTTCCATCTTCCTCCAGAAAAAGTGGCTGTCATCAAGCAATCAACCAGTAACAAATGCTGTGGGAGAAATGGATGCCTTTTCCACTGGTGGTGTTAATTGGTACAAGCACCATAGAAATCAGTATGGAGATTCCTCAAACAACTGATACTGGAGGTTCCGTTTGAGCCAGTTAATGCCCTTCTAGGTATCTTCCCAAGAGAGTTACAAAGTATCATACCACAGTGACATATGCACATCCATATAGCTAAATCTCGGGAACAGATAAAGAAAGTGTGTTAATTATATACAATATGGTACTGCTGTGGCATAAAGAGACATAAATGAGTCATTTTAAAGTACAGGATGCACTTTGAGACCCTAATTTTGAGTGAAGTAAATCAGACACATGAGTGTGTCTTGCATGGTTTCTCTTGTGTGGGAAACCCAGAGGGCAAGTACGGAGCAAAACGGGATAGACACCGAGAAGCACGAAGAAGATGTTCAAGTGGGAAGAGGAGCAGCAGAGGAAAGAAAGGCAAAGGGACTGAAAGAGGAAAAATGGAAACAAAACCTTTGTAAATGAGGAGGGGAAGAAGGAGTAAAGGGAGAGGAGGAGGCTGAGAAAAAAGCACGGAGATGTATTGTGTATAGGTACAGATTCCCGGGGATGAGCATCACCATCATGTGTGGCAAATATGTAATACTAACACCCACACAAAACAGAATCAAATGGAGATTTTAGAATTTAAAAATGCACTATCTGCGTTTAAAATTTCACTGCTTGGGTTGAGTAGCATAACGGACACAGAGAAGACTTAGTGACCTTGAAGGTAAACCACTATAAATTTTTCATCAGAAGAAAAGAGAAAAACAGCTCCTCAGAGACAGTTTGGAAGGATTCTTGGGCACATGACCAGACTAGCAAAAGGAATCAGGAACCGGGAAAAATAAAAAAAAAGCATTTTGAGTAAGTCATACTTATAAATCTCCCCATTTGATAAAAGATGTGCATTTTTAGATTGGTGAAGACTCAGTAACGCTGGGCAATGTGATGCATGCTTGTCCTACGAGAACTCTAGGAGGTGGATGATGCAGAAGGATCAAATGTTCAAGGCCAGCCCTGGCAACACAGCAAGACACCCCGCCCCCCACCATCTTAAAAACACAACTTTAGGGAAGTCTAAACAGGACAAACTCAACAACAGCCACAGCAATTTTGACACAGAGACATTTACCTGGTACTTATCTCTCAATGTCTCTACTTTGGAAAATACACATTTTTATCCTTTGGAAGTTATGGTCTCACCACTATTTAAAAACCCAGTGTTTGATGATACAACTTGGTCTTTTGCCCTAGGTCATATAAATATGCTCAGGTATATGGAATATAATTTAGTACAATATTCATCACTTAATTTTTTTCAAAATCATCATCGCTCTCAACTTCTGTCATGAATACTTAGCAATGAGAAATCATTTATTTGTCAGTTTAAAAATTTTAGCAAACCTTGCTTAGCTTCAGCCTTGGGAATTTGGTCACTGAGATTTCCACTAGTCCTTCTGGCAAATTCATCTGAAAATGCCTAGAAACAAACACAATTTTATACTCCTCAGTTAATGAATGAATTAGACTCATCAGAGCTCTAGATCCTGTACACATAATTTAGAAAAAACCAAATTATATTTTGTATAATCCTATTTTTGAAAGGACACTTGTAGCAAAGACTGGGGTGAGAGGTAGCTAACGAATTTATGCATTTTTTGGCACTGTTCAAAGTCCCTGCAATGAAAATTAGTATTTTCACAATCAGTGAAAGCAAATAACTTGCCAATTGATTAAAAAAAAAAAACAGTATTAAGAGAAAGACGAGTGCAAGGTCCCACATGTTTGAGTCCCAGTGTGCCAGAAAATTGGAGTTTTTAGATCACATCATTTTTGGACACCTAGAGTTTTATGTAAAATTCAAATTTCTTTTTTTTTTTTTTTTTTTTTTTTTTTTGTATTTTTACCAGTACCAGGGATTGAACTCACAACCACGGGCTTGCAAGGCAGGCACTTATGCCACTGAGCTAAATCCCCAGCCCAAATTTGAATTTCTTAAGCATTAACAACTGATTTAAAAACCCTTGTTAAATAGCCCACACAACTCACATCTTGAAGGCATGTTGAGATCACCATTTTGTAAACTTCATTAGCCCCCACAGCTCAATAAGTTTTGCTAATCTTTAAAAACGTCTTCCATGTGTAATAACCACATATAGAGAAGTCATAGTACTTTTGAATGGCATTTGAGTGTCTATAAGAACCAATCTTTTTTTACAGAATACTTTCAGAGTACTCAGTGTTCAGGAAATAAAATGATGCCTGCTGCTCCCTAGAAAACAGATTCAAGGTTCAGGGCTGAGTCACAGAACACACCCCATCTCCCAGCCATTCATTCAAAAATGCTCAGCATTGCATTAGCTGCTTTGTGTGTACAAAGCTTAGCTCCCAAAGTAATTATGATTTGTAGGAGGGGAAAGTATGTGCTGCATTCTGGTGGGAGGAATCACATCACCGCACATAATGCCAGTCACAGGGAGATTGCTAAAACTCCTTTCCTGAGCAGAAGTAACGGTAATTACACAGGCCAAGTACATGGACTGCTTAGTTTTCTCAGGTGGTTTGGCGTCTGAGTAAGAAGGAGGCTCAATTTACTTTGCTTCCCAGGGACTTAAAGGTATTGTCTAGATTCCGAAAAAAAATAAAAGCATGACCTAAAAATTCAGATGATCCAATGAACTGATCCATGGACATCTTGGGCTGCTGGCTCCAATCTGTTAAATTTCTGCAGTATCATACAACTTTCCAAACATTCAATGCCATCTACTCTACTGAATTTTAAAGTTTGGAGGGTGGTGCTCCCATGATACCAACTCTAGTGGCATACCTATAACTGATATTCCAAAAACGTGAGCTGGCTTGACAGACTGGAGACGGTATTTCTGGTCCTAAGTCTCCTACTCACGTGGAGATGTGCACATTGATTCCAACCACATCCTTCGCTTATAATCTACTGCATTCCCAGCAATACAAACAGAAATCACTTGTATCCCATCTTGATGTTTTCCCATTCAAAGGGCTACAATTACATTTTTATAATATGTATTAAATTTTTTATGTTCATGTGAAAGTAAATCCTATACACGGAAAGTCTTAAGAAATATGTTGTCACTGGGCATAATACAACACACCTGTAATCCTAGCACTTGGGAGGCTGAGGCAGGAGGATCTCTGTGAGCTCAAGGCCAATTTGGGTGACCTAGTGGGTTCAAGGCCAGCCTGAACTACATAATGAGACCGTGTTTCAAAAACTAGCAACATAAACAGCAACAAAAATGTTGTCAAGTATGGTACTATACACCCTAAACCCAGTAACTGGGAGATTGAGGCAGGAGGATTGCCGTGAGTTTGAGACCAGCCTGAGCTACACAGTGCACAGTGAGTTAAAGGCCTACACAGGAAGACACTGTCTCAAAAGCTAAAAATAAAAAAAAAATAAAAAAAAAACTAAGAAAACTAAAAGAAGAAAAATGAGAAGAGGAGGAGGAGGAGAGGACAAGGAAGAGCTATGTCAACTTTATTAAGGCATGTAGGTCTAATTTGGAGACTGACTCTACACACATCTGTGAAGACAAAGTAGCACATTTATGAGATAACTGGAAATTTGAACACTGACTGTTATCAAAGGAATTTACTTTAGGTATGATACAGTATTATTTATGTTACTCATTAAAAAAACGATCCTGTTGCTTAAAATAAATTGCTAAATTGTATCTACTTTTGTGTGTGTTTGAAATTGGCTTGAAAAAGAAGTTAATTTTTTTCTACAAAGAAACATTTGACAAAATCAGGTTCCAAACTAAGGTTGCCAGAACAGTCAGAAATGAGCGCAGAGCTTACCTGAATACTTTCATGATCACTTGGGTGCAGCAGAAACTGAACCTCTTGTAAAGTTTTTAGCTGCTTTTTGCTACTAAATGTGAGTACTTCTGAAAGCAGTAATTCGGCAAACTCAGTCTTAGGAAATCCCAAATTTCCTGTTCCAATTGCTGGAAATGCAATTGATCGTGAAGACAGTTTCTCAGTAATCTCCAAACAGTCTCTGATTATTTCTTTCATGATCTGAAAAGCACAAAGCACACCCTTATACCTACTCCCCAGAAATGAGCCAGAACCAAAAGAACAAGAACTTAGCAACTTTTGCTGTGATCTCTGTCCACACCACTTCACTTTCTGTAGGGTTTAAAGGCGAGCAGTAAAAGAAAGAAACACACAGGAGAGAAGAAGAGAACATGAGGAGCGTCCCCAAAAAGGACTCGAACTCACTCCACCCCTCTATCACGCAGGACACGAGTGACAACCATTCTCTTCTTTCATTGTCTTCTAATCTCCGGCCCCCGAGTCACTTTCCTCACTGCAGTAGCCACCCTTCCCGACCCCCAGGCACCAAGAGTGCGACAATGCATCCATATTATTAGCTAGTCCCCCAGAGCCAGGGACAGCTCAAAAAAAGGGCCACGATGGTAGAATGCGCCAAAGAAACAGGTCCAAACTGTAGTACACAGAAAGAAGACTCCAAAGAGCTCCTCCATCCTCCGGAGAATTTAAAGCTAGCCCTACCTTTTGTGCATCTCCGGTTCCCCATGCTGGAGCCACCACGTGAAGCACATGGTCACACTGTAGATTGTAGCCACGGGTTTGGAGAACTGTGCCCACGTCGACAGCTACCCCTTGTAGAGCTGTGTTCAACTCCTGCTGGATCTCTGGTCCAGCTTTTTCCAAAATGGCCTGACAAAGGGGCCCACTGTTCAGCGCAAGATCCGAAGGAACGGAATTGACCACAACATGGGTCTTAAAGACAAAACCAAAGATTTGTTTCACACCAGGAATTCGTTCATCAATGACCACTACACGCGAGCTGCTGGGCTTGATGTATTTAGTTGAGAAACATTCAAGAGCAAAACAGAACTGCCCAAAATAAGTTCTAAATGGTATGGGAATCGCGAAGGAGTCCAGAGGAAAGTCGCACAGTAGCTGATGAAGATGCCACATGCACTGTGGGGCCTGAGAGATGGGAGTGGTTTCAGCACGCAGACAGCACCAGGCAAAAGTGTGAACACACAGTAGCCCGGGAGCAGTGAGCATATTAGTTTGACCAGATCAAGACTGTCTGCAGTAAAACGGTGCCAACTGGGCTAGACGTGATACCCTGGGTGGCATGTCAGGTGCCAAGCCCCTGGATGCCATGCAGACAGTGAGTGAGCAGCTGTAGAAGCTTTAGCATCAGAGAGCACACGAGCAGGTGAATCAGGCTGTGTTAGAGAATCCAGGAGAGGAGAATATGACACACCTCACAAGCCACCGAGGAGGAAGCACTGCAGTCCATTACTAACACCAGTGTGAATAATTCCCATCAACACACAGTGTCAGGGGATTAAGAATAGAACCCATTCAGAGCCGAGAATTTAGCTCAGCAGCATAAGCGTCTGCCTGGCAAGTGCAATGCCATGAGTTCGATTCCCAGCACTAAAAAAAAAGAATAGAACCCATTCCCGTTCCTGATCCTTGTTTAAAACAACATTTGATTTTATTTTTAAACATGAAAAACAAATTATTTTGATGTTTTAAATTAGGACAGTGGCCAAGAACCAGAATACATTCCAGTCCTCCCAACGGTTGGTTATGGGACTTGGGCAAATTAGCTAAAGCCTCTAACTCTCCTGCCCTCGCCGGTGTGTGAGGATGATCACCCCACAGTCTACTTCATGGCACCAAAGCATGCCAAGCACCCAGCACCATGCCTGGCACAAATAATAATCCACGTTAGCTGTGACTCTTGTAATTATTACTTAAGCTTCTTGTAATTCCAAATTGAATTGATCTTCTAGTTCACTAAACTAAGAAAAAGTACTTTTTAAGAAGTAATATCTTGTATAAAATAGGAGAAAACTTGCCCAGTAAAATAGGACAAAATATTTGCAACTCAGATATCTCTTTTAAAAAAAATACTCAAAATGTATATTGAACCCAATAACAAAGAAATCCCTCAATTTGAAAGCAGACAATCTAAACGGATGTTTCTTCAAAGAACACATACACACATCCAAAAGCACATGAAAAGATGTTCAACGTCATGAGCTACTGGGGAAATGCATCACAGTGCCTGGGGGGTCGAAGAGAAGGATGCTCACCGTAGCATCTTGCACGCCCTTTTTCACCAGCAGGATCTTCAAGCCTCCTGGGGCTGTCAGACAGGCCACTTCCTGTGACGTGACAGGTTTCGCTGCTGGTCCTCTAGGCAGGGAAGTTGTATCCGGCTTGGACACGCTGACTGACAGAGTGTCTTTAAATATAGTTTCCACAGCTTTAGCAAAAGCCTCTGCTGTCTTCTCCGATGAGTCCACAAGATAAATCTCTCTCAAGGTGCTCCCAACCTGCCTAAATTCCAAGCTTTCCTTGATGGACAGAACAATGGTCTCCACACACCGCTGTAAAGGGAAGCCAAAGACTCCAGAACTGATGGCGGGAATGGCTATGGATTGGCACTTGTGTTTTTCTGCTAAAAGAAGACTGTTTTCCACAGCTTTCTTTAACAGGTACACACACCTCGGGGCCTCAGATTCAGACCACTTGGGCCCCACCACGTGGATCGCATGGCGGCAGGGCGGGTTCCCCACCCTTGAGAGGATGGTGTCGCCTGGCAGGAGGCGGCCGTCCCTCTTCACGGCCTTCTCACCACAGTCCTCCTGCAGTTCCCGGCCAGCTGCTTTTGAGAGGGCACCAGCAAGACCGCCCAGATGCTTGAGGTCTTCATTTGCTGCATTCACCACCACATCGACTGGAAACTGAGTCAAGTCACCTTGCTGGGCAGTCAGACTGACACCAGGAGCCACCTGCCTCTGGATGAGGTACTTTGACCGATCAGCTGTGCCTCTTACCTGTTCCTTATTCTCCAGTTCAATGAAACAACCGTACTTCTTCCTAATCTCACCTCTGCAAAACTGTGCTTTGTCTTGGAAGAACTGCCTGGCTCCTGGCTTGTCAATAAAGACTCTTCTCACAAAGACAGACTTCACAATTTCCCTGACTGTGTCCACAGCATCTAGCACTTGGTCCTTGGGGCCAACTAGTAAAATGCCTTTGGGTTTGTTCTCTGGATTGAAAAGTATCTGCATATCTCCCTTATTTATTTTTGACCCGAGGAGCTTCTTGTCTTTTTTTAAGTAGTCTACAATCAAGGATGTCTCTACTTCAACCAACCTCTCTATTTTCATGTGTTTTTTCAAGAATTCAAGAACCAAGCGGACAACTTCACTTACTTCTTTTGCAAGACCTGCCACAATGACTTCACCTGGGCTGCCTGCAGTGGATTTATTGATTAGGATGTTTGTGGAAGCATAAAACTTTTTTTGGACATTGGCAATAAACTGTTCCCATTTGCCAGTAGTAAGAATTTCCTTGCCCTCAACGTCAATGTGTTTACAATCTAAGGCACTGAGCATTTGTTTTTCAGCTTCTGCCAGGACTTCAGAAGAACAGCTGGTTAGGAGGACAGTGGTACCCTTGAGTTCATAAACTGTAAGATTCTTTTGTGCTATAAAAAAGGACTCAGAGAATTTTTTCGAGTTACCTTGCAGTAAAAACTGGAAGACCTCAGGAGAGACCTCAATGCTTTTCTGAGCCATAGTGTGCACTTTTTTCTGAATTTCACGCTTCGCTTTGTACACATCGATGTGGGGTCCTTTAAGGCACAGGTTCTGAGCATTCGCATCATAACGAACCTCCATGTCTGGGCATTCTGTGCACATACACTCCAGAACACCACTGTGGTGCAAAAGAAAATACTGTTCTGAAGAAATGGCCACTTTTTCCTTCAGACTTTGCTCTTCCTTTTGAATTTTTTGAGTAGTCTTTTCTATTAATTCCTTGAATTGTGGACTAACATTTTGGATATCGTCTGATTTTCCTGTTAAGGTTACAATCTCCTTAGAGGTATCAAACTCGATCAAAATCCTATCATCTTCTAAGTCGTTTTTTATGACGTCCCACACTCTTGCAGTCACGTTAAGTGAAGTGACTGTATATTTAGAGCTGAGGCCAGAGAGTGCTGACGAAGCATCTGTCTGCCATGTCTTGATTTTGGGTCTTCCTTGATTGACTAAGGTGGCTGCAGGTCTGATGGTAACTTTATTGTCCACTTGGGACCATGTTAGCGAACAGTGATGCTGTGCCATTTCATCATCCAGCTCTTTTCTCAGATGGGTCTTTTTCTGCAAGAAGTTCCACAAAGGCAGCACCAACGACTCTTGAAATGGTGCTGGCAGCTTGATGAGAGGCTGTTCCTTTCCGTACAAGGCTGTCCCCAAAGAGTGATAGTAGGGGAAGACAGAGAGCGGCATCTTATTGAAGTTGTGTTTCTTGGTCAGGATGGTGTCTAACACTTCAAAAGCAAAAGAAATTTTAAAAAGTGAAAATAAGGTGACTGTAATAATATATGCTTTAAAGTAAAACAAGACTATCCCATTCTACAGGGAAATAAATCTTAATGTTTGTAGAACGTCGATGACATATTTTTAAAAGGCAGCTCTACTTCCAAAGTGCTCAAATGTAGTCACAGATAGCCTCTAGTTAGTGCAATAATTACTTTAGAGCCAAGTCAAGTTAAAATTCTGTTTTCTGTTTTCCTGATAGCATGACTATATTGCTACCACACTAAGAAATACGAGTTTGGTCAAAGTCATGGAAATGATGTTCGCTACTGTGTAAACAGTATTTTGGTGTTCAAAGTGAAGCTTGTTTGAGCAGCAACCTGTTTTTTTCTTCTCCATTCCCACAATTTTAGCTTCAATAGTCAACTTACATTCCATTAGCATCTTCACAAGGAGGATAACTGCAATAGCTTCCCATGTACCAGACACCACTGTAAGTGCTTCACACAGATTCAACTCACTTAATACTTACAACAACCCTTTGCAGTAGGGAGCTATGAGTATGATCCTTTTTGATAAAATGATAAAACAGAGGCTGAAGAGCTTAAATTTGGTTCCATATCTGAGCTCAGATTTATCATCTGTGAGCTCCAAAGTTCACATTCTTCCAGCCTACCAAATGAAAACCATCCTCACAGTCCTCCGGGGCCCAGCCCATAGGCTACACCTCCCTCTGTCCCTCTACAATCCCCTTCTGCAGCATGTACTGAGACGGCCCCTCGCACATCTATGTGTGTGTCTGTGTGCTCTTCTCCTCCTCGGAGGCCCTCTTCATTTTGTTAGGCAGGTACACGGGACAGCATCGGGAAGGGAATCAGAATGAGGAACACTAACAAGCTGGATTAAAATAGTGTCCGTGGTGAAAAAGTTGTTAAACATAACTGCATTGTGTGTGATTCCTCAGGCTAGTGTCAGGCATGATGCAAAGCATGTGACCAAAAATATAAACCCAATTTCTCCCTACAGTCCTTAGGGGCTCTGCGGCTGGGCAATACCAGTGACCACTAGTACATTTTCGGCACCGATGCCAAGCACTTTGCATCTGTTACCTCACAATATTCTTGCAAGGTAACTAGAAATGTCATACCTAATATATGATAACAAATCAGAGGGTTTGGTGGGTTAAAGTAACTTACCCAAGACCACAAACCCAGTAAGCACCAAAACCAGAATTCGAACTTTTGTTGAACTAAGAACTATTGAAGATGTCAGCTGAAATGCCTGTCCCGGCTGTAAAGAACATGCCCTGAATGAGGACCCTGCAGATGAAGGGGAGTGGAGGAGCACTTCATAGGAGCCTGGTGTGTTTCTGAGTATGTCTTTACCGAAACTTGCTGAAATTAACTTGAAATGAATGTGAATGGCTAAGATACAGATCACCTCTTTCTAAATACGGTATTTGAAAGTGTTCAAGAATGCTATTTTTCAGTGCACTGTAGGTAGACTCGTGAGAGAATCTCCTTAATGTTTCTAAACCTTGAGAACTTCTCCAGAGTGTGAATCACTGACCTCATTAAGCATCATATTCCAGAAGGACAAGTAATTAACTCCATTTCCAGTCATGAATAAGCAAAGAAAGCACATCAGAATCTAACCAACGGCCAGGATCTGCATCACATGGTCTAGATTACGCCTGGTACACTAGGCTAAGAGATGTTACCTTTTCTGTCACAAAATTCAACCAGAGCTGAACTCTCTTCAGGAAAACACTCAATGTGGGCCACTCTTCCTCCTCCATGCAAAGGATTTTCAAAGAAAATTTGTAGCTGGTAGTCATCAACATCAGGGGGCACGTTTTCAACCCGGACTGTTTTTGTTTCTTCTAGAAGTCTTGGAGACAACTAAAGTCCTTCACTCAAATCATGACTGGCACAGTCAGAAACAAATTTCATAGTGTCTACAAAACAAAGAACATTAGGAAATTACTTGAGGTGTTTTTTTGTCCGTGGATGAATAGGGCTGGCAGACACAAAGGGCAGGGCCCTGAGGAGACAGCCTTTACAGGAGCGAGCTGAGGCCACTCGATTCGGTCCCCTTTCCTCCCCTTTCCCGTAGCTTGTGGCTCACAGCTGAGGGAGCCAGCTTTTCCCCTTTCACCTTCATTATTCCTATACAGAGGCTTGAGGTTCTCCAGAGCAGGAGCTGCAACTTATGCATGCTCACACCCCAGCGCCTAGATCAGTGCTTGGAGCACACAGCAGTGGGTTCTACAGTTGGGATCTGCATGTCCCCCAAAGCCCATGTGCTAACGGCTTGGCCCCCAGTTTGGCGTGATTGAGAGGTGGCAGAACCTTTAAGAAGTGGAGCCTAAGAAGAAGTTTTCCAGTCACTGTGTGGGGCGAAAGGGGACAGTGGGATTCTAACCTCCTCTTCTCTCTCTTTTGGCCACGAGGTGGACAGTTTTATCGTGCTGCCAACAAAGTGTGCTGCTCAGCCACAAGCCTTAAAGCAACAGGGCCAACTGACCATGGACTTATCCCCCAAAACTGTGAGCTAAAATAATCCTTTTCTTCTGATATGTTGACTGTCTCAGGTATTTGTGACAGTAATTGAAAGCTGGTTAAAATATTAGGTGTTCAAGGTATTTGACCAGTGAACAAGAGCAAAGCCATTTAGATTCCCCTTATAAGAATAATAATAAAGTTGTCAAATGTGATGGTGCACACCTGTAATTCTAGCACTCAGGAGGCTGAGACAGGAGAGTCACAGGTGTGAGGCAACAGTCATAAGTATCCCAGCCTGGGCTACATGTGAGTTCGAGGCCATCCTGGACTACATAACAAGACCCTGACTCAAAAACTAAAATAACAATAAGACAACAATATCAATAATAACAATAATAGCAAAAAACTTGAAATAAGAATAACTATTAAATCCTTACCATGTCTCAGGCACTATGCTAAATGCCTTTTAAACATTACCTACTATTTCATTGTGATGCTGGGGATAAAACCCGGGGCCTCTTACCTGCTGGGCAACTGCTCTGCCATTGAGCTCCCTCCCCAGGCTACCCCCATATTGTAGGCAAAGGACACGAGGTGCAGAGAGGAGAGTACCTTAGTCAGCCTTGTATAACTAGTTCAGTGGCAGAGCTGGAATTTTGACTCCAGGATCTCCGTTCTTGACTGACCATTACATAGCCATGACTGTGGACTGAGGCCTCAGAACTGGAAAACTTCCTGGTTTTAGGTGAGGATAATTCCTCTCCTGACAATGACCCTTAAGAATGCTTATTCACTGCATTACATGCACTTTCTCATTCCTGTGTATGTGAATGACCCTCAAAGTACTAAAGAGAAAAATGGTCAACTGGATAAGAGAACAGAACGTAGGCTGCTTGGATTCAGACCCAGATTTTCACTAACTGGAACCTCTGTGCCTCTCTCAACCTCCCGTGTATACTGCGGGTAATAAGAGTAACCTCATAATCTCACAAGGTTGTTGAAGGGAAGAAATAATTCAATACAGGTAAAAGGCTGAGCATAGTACCTGATTTACTATAACCACTATGTGTTTTTTGTTATCATTATTTTCCAGTAAATCCAGTTCGGAAACATCAATAGTTACTTCTCCCAGTGAGATAATACATGAAAATGTCTACTCCAAAGAAAGACTTATTCTGTCTGTCTTTCTGCCTCTCTGTCTCTGTCTCTGTCTCTCTGTCTCTCTCTCTCTCTCTCTCTCTCTCTGACACACACACACACACACACACACACACACTCACACGCTAAAGTTCAATCCATTAAACAATTAAAATTGGTGAGAATTTATTTTCAAAACTTAGGTACTTTTCTTCTAAACAGAGAAAGAAAAGCATCTATATTAGCTCTTTTACTGCCACCACAAAAAGCTGGACGTTCCTCGATGTTCTGCTGCTGAGTATCCCAAACCCAAGGTGCGGTGCAAGAGGAAATGTCACTCGCGCTTACCTGTGTGCTTTTTAAAGGCAACCACAGCAACAGCAAAATCTCGTATTATTTCCACCTCGAAGTCATCACTGGTCAGGCCAGTTACGTTCTCCACTAACAAGGTTAACATCATGTCAGTCACATTCGTGTGGAGGTTTTCAAATGCCACCAAACTGGGAACATGTTCACATTCTCTTGGGATATCTTCCACCTCTTCTGACACACCTAATGTTAGGCGGACAAAAAAGAGATACGAGATGTTCTTTATCCACCATAGTCTTAGCAAAGTAAATAATCACTAGGCATGCCCGTTTCTTTCCAGACATCTTGGCCAACTCAACTAAAAATCAAGCCTTAGGTGGGTTTTCCTTCATTTAGTTAGAAATGAAATGTGATATCCCACTGTCCACTGTTTGCAGCTCAGGTGTATCACATCCTTTCCTGCCTTGTGTGTCTGACGAACCTACCTTATCCTTCTTAGCACTTGACACATGCCCCTATCACAGCTCTACATTAAAATGATTAAACTAAGCTTCTCAAAAGCGAGGTAGCGCCGACTCGTCCTTGCATTGCTGGCCCATGGCACACAGCTGAAACTCAGGAAAGGTTTGCTGAACTGGAGATGACTGCTTGGCTCTCTGGAGGAAAACAAAAGTATCCAATCACACACACACATGCCAAACACAAGACAGTTTAAGGGTTCAAGAACAACACAGCATTAAAGAAATAACTATGAACAAAAAGAGTGGGTACTGGGCTGTGATGAGTGATGTGTGATTGATCTCTGAGTGCCACTCTACCACACGAGACCACGGACAAGTGTTTTCACAGTAAAATGAAAGTGCTGGCCTGTGTGAACTACACAGTAAGTCACTCCAGCAGCACAGTTTTATAACACTGTGATCAGCAGCTTCATCCTGAAAGAAGTGTGGTGAACTGATAAAGAGCATCCAGGAGCATTTCAGGAGCCCAAGAAATTTACAGAAGGCTGGTGTGGAAAGGCTTCTGTGAAGAGGAAAGGGTACAGATCGTGAAAGATCTGTACCTTTGTAGAATTGGGGAAACAAGCCAGGTAAAAGGTTTGCTAACCACTCAATAGAAGACCTCTTCTTCCTCTCTTAAAGGAGCCAACATAAAGGTCTATGTAAGACTACCTATTTAAATCCACCTAAGTTCCTAGATGCTTGCTATCTTTGGAGTCTGGGTCAGATAAAAACAGGTTAGAAAATGGGTCTAAAATCTTCATTGTTGGTGAGTGGCTAGGTGGATCTCCCTGACAATATAATTTGAATTTTAAGCAAATTTGCAAGAATGCTTAGTAAATCAGTTAAGACAAAGTTATGGTAAAATTTATGAAACCATGAAAAACAAACCCTTCATTAAATTTTCGATCTAATATCCTGCAGAAATCCACAAGATCATTAATACCTAATTTGAGAAGCTGTACTCTGATAAGGTAGAAAACACAGAAGAAATGGGCAGATTCCTAGATTCATGAGTTACCAAAGCTGAATCAAGAAGGTATAAAATTTCTAAATAATCCAATATCAGTTAATGAAACTGAAGAAGTAATTTTAAAATTGCCAACAAAGAAAAGCCAAGGAACTGATAGATTCACTCCTGAATTTTGCAAGAATTTAAAAGAAGACCTAATGCCACTACGCCTCAAACTAAAAAAATGAAATTGAAAGAGAAGCAACACTCCCAAACTCACTCCTGGAAGCAAGAATTACCTGATACAAAAACAAGAGAAGGAGCCAACTAAAAAAAAAGAGAACTACAGGCCAAGAAGGAACATAGATGCAAAAATCTTTAGTCAGATACTGGCAAACAGAATGTAGCAAATAATCAAGACGATTATCACAATGACCAAATAGGATTTATCCCATATATGCAAAGATGGTTCAACATGCACAATAAGTTTAATACATCACATGTACAGGACTATGGACAAAAACCATATGATCATCTCAATGGGTGCAGAAAAACCGTTTGACAAAGTCCAATACCCATTCATGCTAAAAATCTGACAGAAAATGATAATGGAAGGGTTTTACCTCAATCTGATAACAGCCATCTATGACAAACCAATAGCCAAAATCATACTAAAAGGACAAAAACTGAAAGCTTTCACTCAAAAATCAGGAACAAGACAAAGATGACCAGTATCATCATTACTACTCAACATAGTCCTGGAAACTTTATCCAGACCAATTAGACAAGAAAAAAAAAAAACGATTAAGAAGAAGAAGAAGTTAAATTATCATTATTTGCTTATTACATGATACTCTATATAGAAAGATCTCAAAAACTTCACCAAGAGACTTCTAGATTTAATAAGCAGGATACAATGTCAACACTCCAAAATCAATAGCGTCCCCACACACAAATAGAAAATTCACTGAGAGAAAAATTAGGGAAACAATACCTTTCACAATAGTAGCAAGAAAAATGAAATACATGGAATCAATCTAATAATAATAATGATGAAATATCTATAGATTCAAAACTACAATACTCTCAAAACAGGAAACTAAGTAAGATATAAAGAAATAGAAGGCCCAGGGATATAGCCCAGTGGCACAAGCACCTGCCTGGCAAGCACTGGTCCTGAGTTCAATTCCTGGTACCAAAAAAAAGAAAGAAAGAAATAGAAATAGATATCATTTTCTTGGATAGCCACAATAAATTTAATGCAATCCCAACCAAAATACCAATAGCATACCTCACAGAACTAGGAAAATAATCCTAAAATTCATTTGGAACTAGATGAAATCTCCAATAGCAAAAGCAATTCTGGGTAACAAAGGCAAGGCAGAGGCATCACAACCCCCATCTTGAAATTATACTACAAAACTACAGTGGTAAAAACAGCAAGGATCCTTGGGTCTAGTTTGCGTTTTTTTTTTTTATTGTTGTTTGTCTGTTTTGTTTTGTTTTGTTTTTATAGCAATCTTGTTTTGGACAAAGGTACCAAACACCTTCACTGGAAGAAAGATAGCCTCTTAAATAAACTGTGCTGGGAAAATTGGATTTCCACATGACAAAGATTAACGTAGATCCACATCTGTCACCCTACACTAAACTAAAATTGAAATGGATCAAACAGATAAATATTAAAACAGAAACATTTAATCTCCTGGAAGATAAAAGAGATAAAACACTTGAAGAAATAGGTATAGGAAAAGACTTTATGAACAAAATCCAAATAACACAGGAAATATTACAAAGAATTGAAAACTGAGATCTCACCATCTCACCATAAAAAGTCTTTGAACATCAAAAGAAACTGCCAACAGAGTGAAAACATAACCCACAGAAAGGGAAAAAATTTTTACTAGTTGCTCTTCAGACAAAGAAGTAATAACTAGAATATATAAAGCATTCAAAGCACCCAACTCCCCCAAATTTAAAGTCCCAGTCAAAAAAATGAGCATGGAAAATGAAGAGACACTTCTCAGATGAAGAAGCACAAACAGCAAATAAATACATGAAAAAAATGTTCAACTTCACTGGTCATTCATGAGATGCAAATTAAAATGACACTGAGATTTCATCTCACCCAAGAAAAAATGACTACATTAAAGAAATCAGCCAATAACAAATGCTGGCAAGAAGGCTGTAAGGAAAAAGGACCCTTTGCCATTGTGGGTGGGAGGGTAGACTGGTACAACCAGTGTGGAGAGTCCTTGAAAAACTGAAACTATACGTTGCATTTGACCCAATTATTCTCCTTCTAGCATCATGGCATAGGAATATACGCACACCCACGTATATAGCACCACAGTGTGGAACAGCTAAATCTGGGAAACAGACCTGATGCCCATTAGCAGATGAGTGAGTAAGAATATATGGTTTTTATATACAATGGAGTGCTACACCATAAAGGATACACTTGAGACATTTTTAGGTAAATGGACGAATCTTAAGACCGTACTCTTTAAGTGAAATAAATTGGACACAGATGTTTAAATATCAGTGTTTTCCTTGTGGGAGAAACCAAAGCACACATGACACACACTGGGAAGCAGGAAGGAAGTGTTCAAGTGGGAGAGGACCTAGGAAGGGGGAGGAGGAGGGAAGGAAGGCAAAAGGAAAGAAGAGAACAGAAGGCAAAAACAGAAGCAAAGCTTTTGCAAATAAGGAGGGTAAGAAGGGGTGAAGGGAGGGAGGGGAATGGGGAGAAAAGAAGCATGATCCGTCCTGTCCGGGTACAAACTCCCTGTGAGGAATGCAGTCATTATGTGTGTCATCATGTATACCGATAAAATCAATTAAAAAATACATTTTAGATCCAGGATATACAATAGTAGGAGTATACATATACAAATAGCTACTTCCTCTGAAACTGAGCTTGATTCTACAGAAGTTAAGGCAATTTCTCAGAAAATAATAAGGCTTTAAGAGATCACAATAATAAACACCAGGATTTGAATAAACAGTAATGAGCCAATTTCAGATCTGAAAGATGGAAAGCAAGAATTAATCCAAGCACACAAAAAGATTCCTATTTCATAAGAATCTTAAGCTTTTTATAAAAGGTGCTTATTGGATTCTATAATGGAATTGTAAATTCACATCAGGTGAAAACAGTCTGCATGTTCCTAACCACTAATTAGTCATTTTTCTAGGTAATGGAAGCTCTCATTCTCATGCTACTTAAAAATCAACAAATAAACAAAAAGAAGGCTGCAGGAAACTACCATTCTTGTGACCAGGACAATGTTTTTTCCAGATCTCTTTTTCCCAAAGATGTGGGTACTTGTGTCACTGTTTCTTTCTTGCTAGGTTCACTTAGCATAGTTTCTCATTTAGCAGCAAGCTTAATCACGTGAACGTGCTGCTGCTTTGATCAGGCAGCACCACAGACTAAGGCACGATAGTGTGTTCAGCAGCAGAGTCCACGCCATCTAGTTGTCTGCTGGCTTTTCCTACAGCAGGAGATCAGAAGAGCTCCTGCCTTTGGGAAGACGGGACCTTCCCTCACAGGCCACCACCTCAGGGAAGCTGTGGCCCACAGAGAAGTCACGCCTCCCTGAAGCAGGTCCAGAGGACAGGTCTGCACACACAGGGCTCACTGCGCAGTGCTGACTGACTGACCACGCACGGCGCCCACAAACACGACATGCTTGTCCTTGTTTCTCACTGGGCAGTTGGGCACACGTGGGCTTGAGAGTTCAGTTCATTGCCACTGCCCCGGGAGTCTTCTGTTCTACCCTCACTGCAACACATTACTGTCTCCAGAGGGAACTGTGCCCATCCTGTGAACCAACCTCTGAGAGCTCAAGGAGTTCTCATTGCCCAAGTATGAGGATCATGCATCGCATGGCAGCTCCTAGGTGGGCAAACTCTGTTGTGTATGTCACAAAGACAGGATAGGTCCTCCAGGTGTCTGTCTGTCTCTCTCTCTCTCTCTCTCTCTCTCTCTCTTTCTCTTTATTAATTAACTTTATTGATCTCAAGTGTCTTATTTAATCAAAACAAAATTGTCTGGTGAAGGTCAGAGTCATTTCAACTGATATTTTACCTGGTTCTTTGACATCTTCTTTGGTCTTGGATTCCTGAAACCCAGACAATAAAGTAACATTAATATAGGGCTAATAATTTCTTTACATTAAGAAGATGACCCTAGGATCACCCTGGAGATGCAGAGAACATAGAAACCCAAACAGGAAAGCTCCAGTGACGGGGCTCTTGACTGCATCTGGGGCCGCATGTCAGAGCTTATCTCCTTACTAGTCACAATAATCATTGTTGAAAATGAGACGCAAACAAAAGAAATCCCAGTGTACATCAACTGGGATTTTATTTTTGTGTTTTGAGACAGGATCTCCCTAAGTAACTGAGGCTGGCCTAGAAATCACCATCCTTCTACCTCAGCGTCTCACTTGCTTGGATTATGAGCATGCACCCCTGCACCAAGCTCTGCACCCAGTGTCAGGGGCTCGGGGTAAAACCTAAGTCAGACAAAGAGCTTAGCTCATGATGTCTTTCCACTTAACATTTACTGTTTACTATACAAGCAGAAAGGTTCCGGGTCTTCAAAGCAGTCATTGCACTAAATCCTCACAAGAATCTGACAATCTCCCTTACAGTTAAGGAAAGATTACCTGCAGTACGAACCACTGTCCCCTCAAGATGATGTAAAGGCAAAAAGAAAATAGCAAGCTGCAAATTACAAAACAGCCAAGGCCAACAGATTCAAAATTTACATCCTAAACCAGTGGTGGTGACATTTTTAGAGCTTTCAATGATGCAAACAGCTCGCAGGGCACACGTGCCGGAGGTTCACCGCCCCCACCCTGACCGTCCTGGGGACTCTCACATCCTGCCTTTTCAAGTGTCTAAAGTCAAACAAAGCGCTTCCCTCTTCATCACTCTATGTGGCCCCCGCACTGCCTTTGCTCCTGCGCATGTGCAGCCTACTTTTCTCACTCCACTGTGATGAATGCTTTACCTCCTCTGCTCAGATGCCTGGATCCCTTTGTTTACTTACAAAACGTGTTGGAATTTTCTCCTTAGAATCTGGGACTTCATCCGGAGTGGTGGGCAGCTGGACTGTTAACTGGTACGTCCCTTTTCCTGGCAAGACTAACTCGTGATTTGGTTTTTGCAGAACTGTCTGTCGAACTGAAATGTCAAAAAAAATATGAAAATAAAGCCAAGTGACAAGCAGCTGTCATTTATATAAGTATCCCATGGTGTCCGTTGGTTTCGTCACTCTGTCAATAGTTGAGCTAGTTTCTCAAGAGACGCTATCCATAGTACACAGAGGGAAACTTTAGAAGCAGATGTGAATTTGCAGTGCATCCTCCAATATATTTTAAAATAAATAATGCTAGAGTTTGGACATGGAACATCCCTCAAGGGCCCAGCACTGAAATACTAGTTTCCAGCCTCTGAACCAACAGCAAGTGATAGAACCTCTAAGCGGCAGAGCCTGGTGGGAGCGAGGTAGGTCACATGCACCAACCCTTAAAGGGAAAAGGGGACCCTTCCCCTTCCTCTTCCTCCCTTTTCGCCTTCCCACCATGAGAAGAGGGCTTCCTCTTCAACTACGCCCGCTATGATGTACAGCCTTGCTGAGGACCCAGAAGCAAGAGGCCAACTGATGCAGGACTGACCCCTCCAAAACTATTGAGCAGAACTACACCTTAAAAATTGCGAATCTCAGGTATTTTGTCACATTAATGGTAAGTTGATTACAAACACATTTAGTGTATTATTCAATAGGCGTTGCTAAAAAATCCTGTCTTTTTTTTTTTTTTCATTTTTATTGGTACCAGGGATCGAACTCAAGACTGCCTGCTTGCAAGGCAGGTGCTTATGCCACTGACCTAAATCTCCAGCCCCCAAAATGCTGTCCTTTTATTAATGAGGCTAGTGGAAATTTTTTTGTACCAGTTTAGTTTAAACTGAAGAAAAACTGTAAAGAACCACAGTGCCTGTCACAAAGACATCAAAAAGGTGATGATTTTCATTCTACACTAATGTGACATAATGAAAGCAACCCTCCTGTAGAGCCAGGGCAGACTTGGTGCCTGGGACATGACGTGATCAAAGCCACATTTTCTGAAGGGATTCAGGTGGCCACGAGCAAAATGACCAGGAGCCTAAACAGAAAGCTGTTTCAGCCAATTTGTTAACCTGTGATGATAAGAGCCTCCCATCTGTTAGTAAAGGGAGTGCAAAATGAAAGAATGAGGGCCAGAGATTCAGCTCAGGGGCACAAGTACCTGCCTGGCAAGCATGAGGTTACGAGTTTGATCCCCAATACAAAAAAAAGAAGAACAAGAAGAAGAAAAAGAGGAAGAAGAAGAAGAAGAAGAAGAAGAAGAAGAAGAAGAAGAAGAAGAAGAAGAAGAAGAAGAAAGGAAGAGTGATACTTGCAAATATAAAATCAAAAATAATTAGCACTTCAGGAGAATGGCAGCAGTAAACAAACTGAAGAGCGGACAAAAGAGTCCAAAGACCCGAATTCGAGTCCACAGGTTTAGCTCAGTGGCACAAGTGCCTGCCTGGCAGGCCCAACGTCATGAGTTTGATTCCCGGTACAAAAAAAAAAAGACCTAAATTCGACCTTCAACTCTGCCACAAACTAGCAAAGTGACTCACGGCAATGCTTTAACTCCTCTAAAATCTGTTTCCTCATTCAGAGTGGGGAAAGCATTACCAGTAAGCTGCAAAAGTTATCGTATCAGAAACTGAGACAACAGCCTCCTAAAACAATTCAAATTCTACCTTAATTGAACTATGCAGGTTGATCCTTGTTCACCTCATTCTCCCTGCATTTTGCAGAGATGATTTTTCCCCACCTGGCCAGCCAGCTCAAGTCACCCACCATCCTCACTGTCACTGATCCTTGAGCCACTTGCTTCTTCACAACATAATAAATACTTGGAGGGGCCTTGGATCCAGGCCTTTGTCCACACATCTTCACCTGGTTGGGCTTAGGACCCCGACTGCCCTTAACTTTGACTATGTCGCCGTGTCTCTACTCTTGCTATGGGTTACACTGAGGTGGTAGATTGGAATTAACTTGCCGGGATTCCAATAACATTTCAATGGGATTACAAATACAACTTTCTGGATTGTGAGGGTTGGTGAAGGGATTATAATACTCAGATTTTTACTATATTCAATACTTGGGTTACAACAAAGCTCAGATCATCTATGTTTAATTTTACTTAAGTAGATAGGTTTCCTCACCCCAAGGTGTCTGAGACAATCAGCAGGAGCTCAATTATGACCAGAAAGGATGACAAAATGTATACACCCAAAACAAGGTTTAACATGGGGTGGGGATGTGGCTCAGTGGTACAGTTCTTGCCTTGAATGCACAGGACTGCATTTCACCCCCAGTACCACCACCAAAAAAAAAAATTTTTAAGTAAATAAAGAAAACATGAGGTCCAGGGCTGATGGTATAGACAGCTCAGTGTGAGAGCACTTGCCTAACATGCATGAGGCCCTGAGGGCATCCCCAGCCCAGAAAAAGAAAAAGAAGGAAGAGGAGGAGAAGAAAGAGGAGCAGGAATTGGGGGAATAACCAGCTTTTCTCAACAAAATCATGTAACTATGAAAGCCGGATTATCACTTCCTACTCATTCCTATTTGCTGTGTGCCACTCTCTGCAGAGGAGCACTGGTGCCTCGTCTCTATTCTTCTGCCACTGGCATGAGGTCATGTTTCACGGCGGGCCTACACCTGGCAGGGCCACTGCCTGCCATGGAGGGTGGGCAGACGGCAACAGTGTGCTCTCTTTGGACACCCTGCCCCGCAGGAATGCCAGGACTGGCTGTTTATTGTCAGAGAATTCTGGAAGACTCCATACTTACGAAAGTGGTTCCCAAGAAGGAAACTGAAACTGAAAAAGGACTTTCCCCACCCTGAGAACTTTGCCCATAAACAGCTCCCAGAGGTTTTGAGTTCCTTAGCTGAGGGGTAAGGGAAAAGGGGGCACTGGACCCTCTGAGGTGCAGGGAGCCTGCAGCTGTGAAGAAGAAAGCCTCACAGGGAAGCTGCTTGTACTCAGCCTGCTGAAAATTTGTATGATGATTTCCATTTTCCTTCATTTTGTGTTATTAGCAGACCCCAGAGATTCTCCAAGTTCAGGCACTGAGGTCACCCCAGGGGCTGATTCCCACCCACCCACACTCACTTTGGGACTCTCTCCAACAGTTGCCCAGGTCCCTTGCTCACTGCCCTCTGGGAATTCAGAGGAAAGTCAGAGCCCACAATTAGAGCACTACTGCTGAGACTGACAGGACCCTCAGAAAAGCAATCCCTAAGGGGTTTTGATGTTGACAGCTGGAATCCAACTGAGCAAGTGACTGGCTGGACAATGACTCAGCTGCCCAGCCAGCCTTCCAGATAGTCACTCATGGAGGCAGTCCTTGGCAGAGACTATCCTTGGTTTTTCATAAACAAGGGTCTTCTGTCCTCTTCCACACTCACTTCCTGCACACCCATCTGTATGCCTTTCTCTTTCTGAGCCATTCCCCCAGGCTGGATCCCTGCTGGGCCATTCCAGCTGCCTGGTTCTCTAGGCCTCCCTGCCTCTCCTCTGGCCCAAAAGCTTCTAGGCCAATCCTTCACCGCGAGGCCCATAGGGCTTGTCTGCATCCTAAGCCATGAGACCGGGCCTTGCTTCCCAGGTAGGACCGCAGCTGGGAAGCCATGCTGGGAGAACTCAGCCCTGCAAGCCCAAGAGAAGGAAACTTTCCAACCCAGCATCACCTCTGAGCACCATTCGAGCTGTCACTCTGCAGCCACCCTGAGAGGAGGAGGAAACAACAGAGGTGGAGGAAGTCTCCAACGAAGTGTGTTGTTGATCTGTGGCGCCTGGCCTTCCCCTCCCAGCGCGGACCACAGCGAAGCCTGTATTTACACCTAGACCAGGTGCCTTTGGGTAGCACCACTGCCCCTCTCTAAATGACCCTGGACAAAGTCTAGAAGCCCTGGGAATCCCGCGACCCGGGAGGAATTACTAGGAGTTCTCATTTTTCTTAGCGTCCCCCCTAACAGCAACGGGGAGGGAGGGCAGCGGTGGGAAGGACAGGGACTATCTATCCATTGGCTGTTTTGGCCACAGCTCCCCAGCCCAGCGGACCGCGCAGGGGCGCAGCGCGCAGAGGACCGGCCGCGTCGGGGCGGGCGCGCTCCAGCTCTGCCTCACCTCCAGCTCCTCGGACGCCACCGCTGGGCGGGGCGGACCTGCACCCGCGGCCAGGACCCCGATCCCCCGGGGAAGGAGCGGGTGGCCGCCCCAGCCCGCCCCGCTCGCCCTCGCCGTGCGCCCCTCACCGTCCTCGGAGAAGAGCACCAGGAAGCGCCCCGGGCTCTCGGGGTCTCTGCGGACCTCACACTCCCCGCCGCCTCCGGAGCGCTTGCGGCTCTGGAAATAGGACTGCAGCTTGGTGCTCAGATTCTTGGGAGGGTCGCGGCCCCAGGATCCCTCGACCAGCAACGGGAAGGCCCGAGACGCGGCCATCCCGGGCTTAGCCATCCCCAGACTGGGCGGCCTGGCTGCTCGGGGAAGTTAACTTTGCCTCTTTCGGTTTCCTAGAAATAACCCTGGGGGCCTGACTTTCTTCTGTCTGCAGCTGAGCCGCCCAGGAAGAAGCACACCCTCTCCTCTGGCCACAGCAAGGGCAAGGACCACTTGAGCAGAGGCCAGCACTGCTGGACTGAGGACACAGGGATGGGTTCCTGTTTGAAACGCCAGAAGCCGACATTTTACCAGGGCATAAGTGGGCCAGCAAACTGGGACGCTCTTAAGACCTTCATTTGGAAGTAAGATCCACAATCAATGGACTTATGACTTTCCTTCCTATGAGTTTTGCTTTCCGACTGTCAATATTACGTGTCTAGAATCGTGAGCGAAAGGACAGCTCGAAGAATTTTGGAGGGGCCAAGTGGAAGGACACAGTCGCAGGCCAGCAGTGTGGGAGACCCCGGAGGATGACCTTGCAGGGCTTAGAAGGGGAGAGGGAGAGAGGCCAGCCCAGCTGGAGACTGAAGGCTGGGCTTGCTGTGCTGGAGAGCTCCTCTGAGGATGGCCTTAGCAAGTGGCTGGAAGGTGGTATCCAGTGGGGTGGGCAGAGAGGAGGAAGAGAAGCTGACATATGTATCCTTGCCCCCCCCCCCCCACCGTGATAAAAGTGTTTCAAGTCAGGGGGAGCTGCCCGCACTTCAGAGCTGCCAGGACAGAAGTGACTGTGGCCAAAGCAGCCTGGTTTGGGGGTGTGGGGGTGACAGGAAGGAGCAAAGGAAGCTGAGGCAGTGAAGGCAGCCCGCCCAGTAGCTTGACTGTAAAGAGAAAGGAGCTGGCAGTAGCTAGGCGGCTACATGATCCGGGAGGTGTTGTTTTCGGCTTTCCTGGCCCTAAGTATTGGTAAACGGGGAACATCTTAGGGAAATCACGGAGAGGGGAGATGGTGGAAGGGCTTCCCAGTGCCACTGGGAGCTGGACACCTTCCCTGGGGGCCAGCAGCGGGAACAGAGCAAGCAGCAGGTCCTTCTCAGTGTGCACTGAGCAGAGAGACTCTGCGCCTCTGTGGGAGAGCGGTGAGGCCCCCTCGGACCCACCAAAATCAGAGCTGCTCTTCTCTGCAGAGAAGCACATTGTACATTGTTGGTTGGTCAAGATGAAGCTGAATGTCAGGAGGAAGCGACTCAGAGCCATGCCAAAGAAGCTTCCTAGTCTTTTACTTCTGATCTATGAGGTGTGATCGAATGTTCAAAAATTACTGTAAAAGATATGTGGCCCTTGACTTCCCTTAAAATACTCCTCTGTGATTTAAATGTATTACCCCATCATTCTTACCATTTTCTGAAGCAGTTCTACAAGTCCACCTTGGCGAGGATCTTCAGTTGTTCTGTGGTGGCCACCTCGGTGTCCTGAATTGATGTGAAGCGTTTACTTTTCATTTTTACTTGGAGGAAGAGCTGGAAGTCCCATCTCCAGTGAACAATTTGGATGAAGACACAGTGGCATGTTGTGAGAAGCTTGCATTTCCATCGGATGACACTGCAGCAGCATTCACTGTGTATTTTAGCAGACCTGGTAAAGTCACTCGTGAAAGGGGACTTCGGAAACTGCATCAGAAAGCAAAAAGAACAATGTGGTCAAAGTGCGGGGGAGTATGCTGAAGGAACTTAATGAGACTTTACTGTAATTGTTTTTTTTTTTTTTTTTTTTTTTTTTTTTTGTCTTTTTATCAGTACCGGGGATCGAACACAGGACTGCCTGCTTGTAAGGCAGGCGCTTATGCCGCTGAGCTAAATCCTCAGCCCCATTGCAATTGTTTTTAAATATCTTGTTTTTCTGATGACACTGTACAATAGTGCTGAACAGTATCCTACTGTCTTCAGCTACCCCACCCTGGACCCCCACAGGAAATGGAGAGAATACTACAGGGCAGGGCAGATCCTGGCCAAACATGCAGAACTCTCCCAGGGCTTCCCCTCTGTCTCACCTCAAAACACAACAAAAAATCAGCAACCCCTTCCTCCGAGTTGGGGGCCAGATGCTTAGGCAAGTGTTTTCTTTAGCATCCTCGCAGCCACATGTTGTAAGAAGTGAGTTTTAGCCAGCATTTTGGGATTGCTTTATTAGCAAGGGGATTCCTGCTTTAGCAACGTGCCTCACTGCTGGAGCTCCGCTGATCACTCCTGGGTGGACTGATGAGAAGCCATCGGAGGGCAGGATAGCAGGCCTCGAAAGCCACGTTGTTAGGCATGTTATTAAACATTAGGGCCTGATGGACAAGGGAGGGGTCCAAAATAGCGAAATATCTTTGCCAGTTACAGAAACAAAGACTTCAGTGTATTCTCAGTGTAGTCTCAGACCCAATGTGATCCCACAGAGCACTAGGACCTGTTAGGTCATACATTGTGTGCAGCCTGGCCACCTCTCTCTCACACCGAGGCCCTCTACGTTCTCTGGTATCATGGTCCATATTCAAGGATATCAGAAAGGGGAACTTTCTTTAAAGACCGTCCCACCGAGGGCTGAGAACTGATTTAAATTCTTACATGATGAAGGCCTCTGAGGAAACACTGACGATGTAGATGGAATAGTGAAGTCACCTTCAAGATGCCAACATTCCAGAGTAACCTCTGATAAGTGTTAACCACATAAATCTGCCATATCCTCATGGAAGAGGTTCAACATGGTGAGGAGACCATGAAAGGCACCTTACCAGTTTGCTTCCTCTGTACCACAAACCCCAAAATAGGCTTCCTCTCTTTTCTTCCCGTAGGTGCCAAGGATTTCCCAGTCCCTAACCTGCACATACTAACACGTAGCAATAATCCATCACTGTCAACTAACTAACTGGTTAGCTAACCCTCGCCAAAAGGTCATTTTTATAAGCAACCCCCAATCCTTTGTCCACTGAGTGAGCTCCCACATTCTCAGTGTGTGTATCTCATTAAAGGTCTTTTTGTTCTTTGTCTTCCTGTTATTTCTGCACCTTCAGATTGTCAAAAATAATCACTCTAAGGGAAATGTTGATAAGCATTATAACCATCATAGTTCCTTGAATACCAGGAATAATTTTTGTGTGCGTAAAAAGATATCTAAACTCTCAATGAATCCCTTGGTGGCCCTGTGTGGCTTCTCTCTTGACGGTTTAGCTCTGTATCTACTTTACAACAACTTCTGCCTGTGCTCCTGCATGGTCACCTGTGTGTTTCACTGAATTCTTTCAAGGGCAGGAAGAACTGAGGACCATCACGGTGAGGGGCCTGCTCCTCTCTGCATCGGGACCCAGCTTCCCAGTGACAGTGGAAAGAAGATTTTAGAAGGAGCAAACTGTTGAACATCATTGGCTCCTGTGGGACTTTGTCTACTAAGTTATTTTCATTCTACCCAAACCCTTCTTTCTCCCCTCGGGTGCTTATCCTCTCTCCACTCTGAGTCTCCCACGGGTGTCTGATCCTAAAACCACCTTCCTCCCTAGGAAGCAGTGTCACCTGAGGACCTGGGAGCAGGGATGGGAGTGGAGGGGTGGCTTTCCAAGGCAGAATTGGTTATGTTCATGTCATTTTTCCTTGGTTCTCCTGCCTCACAGCCACAGCAGTGTCAGAATAATAGCCCCTGTGTGCATTTGGGGTTGAATTTCCATTTGCCTACTTCATCTAAATGCCACCGCTCAGCTTCTCTCCAAACTTCTATAACCGACCACCAAGCTACTTTCAACTTGCCTACAACAGGCACCAGGCCTCCCCTGCTCCAGGAGTGATGTAGGTTTCCCTGATACTATGGTTAGCTGGTGGTAGAAAGTGTTAATGTCTTTCCTGGCTATCCAGTTAACCACTGAATCAGACTCACAGGCATACAAGACAAGCATTTAACTCCCAGAGAGCACAAGCTAATTTTTATTTTTAAAAAGAATAACACACACATGCATGATCTCCACACTGATATTGTTAATTATTGAACAGTCAGCTTTTTGGGAGTAAATGTTTGCATAACCTGGGTATGATGGGTATGATGGTGTAGTTCCAGCAGTCTACTAGACTGAGGCAGGAGAAGTGAAGCCCAGCCCAACTTAGTGGCTTAGTAAGACCCTGTCTCAAAATTTAAAAAAAAAAATTTTAAGGATGCAACTCAGTAGAAAAGTCCTGGGCTTAAGCTTCAGTGCTGGAAAAAAGAAGTATGTGTAAGTATGTTATAAATTTTACAGATATAGGGCTGGGGGGGTTAGCTCAACAGCACAAGCACCTGCCTGGCAAGTGCAAGGTCCTGAGTGTGATCCTCCATACCAAAAAAAATTAAACCAAATTTTATAGGTATGATTGCCTGTAAAATAATTAATAAACAATAATAAAATATATAACACTTTGCTGTAATTTTCAGATAGCCATTGGGTTCTTGAAGTACGTTTCCAAGATTTTTGTTAAATCATCTGTAGCCTATCTATGGTTGCAAATGATGGATAAATGTCATTCTGCTGAAAATGCTGGTTGACTTTTCATTTGCATGAACAAACAAGATGCCGATGAAACAATGAAAGTAAGTCAGAACTCTTATTGGCCTGACTCCCTTATTACTGAATAGGATACTAGAGTCAAGTACTGGGAGAATAATTCTTTGATTGCATTTTTTTGATGTAATAATACAGGCATGGTATGCATTTAAGCATTCTGCCATGTGAGCATACTCTCCATTATCTTCCAAAATGTAGATAATATTCAAAACAGCTGAGCCCTGATTTGTAGTGTTTGGAAATTCAATGATACAAATATTCCTACTATGTCTGATTAAATTTCTGGTGTGATATCACTGAACACAGAGTTGGGAAGAGATAATAAGCAGGAAATCCACTCTTTGTACCACACACACATAAGGCATATACCACAATAACACAGGTAGGAGCTGTTATGGGTGTGTCTAGACGTCCCCACAAAGCCTCGTGTACTTTTAGATGGGCTTTTTGGAGACAGCTGACTCTCAAGTTTGTGATTGACTCATGGTTCAGTACTGGGATTAAGGCTGAGTGATCACTGGATCAGCAGCTGGTTGGATCGGCACCACCCTAATCCTA